ATTTGCTAAGTATAAACCAAGTTAAGGAAATTACAAAAAGTGATATAAAAGAGACCAGGGAATTTAAAGGCAATGTATTTAAACTGTTTTCTTATTCAACTATTTCTCCCCCGACCCCGACCCCAACCGGGGCCTGGTCACTGAAACTTACAGAATAAAGATCCATTGATATGGTACTTATGACCACTTTTTAGCTGACTCAAGAGACTACCATTATCTTTACAAAATTCATAAAAAAAGTCCACTAAAAAATCAGTGAAGTACACGTAGAATAGAATATTAAGAATTTGTAAATGTTTCTAGTACCAAGCAAAGGTTATATAGAGCTCATCCAATGGAAAATATTAAGAACATTAAAGGAACACAGTCATCTTGAAAACTCCACATTTGTCTGAAAACCTGAAACTACAGTAAAAGGCAAGCTAAACCCGTCATTAATATAACTGAAAAATGTTATTAAGTATTTTTCTCCTCTGGTCTGTTTTACTCTGCTCACACAGTAAGACTTTTAAAAAAAAAAATCAAGTTTCTAATAGACTATGATTTCAGTAGCACAACTTCATAAAGATGTTTTAATGTCTTTATAGGTGATTTTGTCTTCTCTCTAAAGGCTTTTGTGAAGAAAAAAATAAGTTTAAAAAGTAGGTTCACTGCCCCTTTAAAATTTGTATGTTAACTATTGCGATCATCTACTGTATCTGTATAACTAATAATACAAAGACAGTCAACACTGGCAACACGTAAGGGGTGCATGTGCACCCCCTGAGTGTGGTGGTGCACCCCCTGAGAAAAAGGCAAAGCAGTCACCGCTTGTCTGCAATTGCCACTGGCCGACACTGGTGGTGGCATCTGCGGGCAGTTGCCAACCGCTGGTCAGCACTCCTTCCTCCCCTCCCAGACCCCTGGCAACAGCGCCGCGGCTGCCTGCTGCTTGCCACCACCACCACGCTCCTACCGCCTGCAGGAGCTCACCATGTCCCCCCTAGCAGCACACGGCGTTCATGACAGTCAATATATTTATGAATGATTATAAATGCACTCCTAAATTCATTTAATAACTAGGAATGTTTGCATTAAAGGCCATGAACAGAGGTGCCGCAAAGAAATATGCATTACGAGTTTTCCTCTACGTTAGTTTTAGAATGACCTTTCAGCCATTATTCTCATCCAGGAAGTCTGCTGATGGAGAATTCGGATGAGTTCAAAAGATGTCAGGCATAACGTGTGGCCCTTACATTTCGATAAACAATTTAAAAGAAGCAGGGAAGTGCTGTCATACAGTTGGCTGGTTTAACCAAATTGAATCACACCAACTTAGCAGCAAGCCTTATCATTGGTATGTATAAAAGGAACAGTTTACGGTAACAAATCTGACCAAGTTTTAGAAGCTGGCCAATCCACCAGGGCAAAAATACTTTCAAGAAGTAGATGAGAGTCAGATACAATTTTCTTAAACTGCTTCATAACTGCTGCTGTTTGCACTGCTTGTAATACTGTCTCTAATATCTCCCAAGTCTTAAATTTGTACAATTATCCTTCCACCTTCAGAAAGAGTAGCCATTCATATGCCTCCATCTGCTTATTTTAATTCTTTAAATAAGATTAGCTGAGGTATACAGTGGTCTCAGGAGATGCTTCCCCCTGCCAAAGTGGTTTGTTTAATAAAACTTAGGTAAGCATATGCTACTGCATTTAGTACAAAAATGTAGGTCTCCAGTATTTTAAGAGTAGGTGAATATTTTGAATATTCTTTTATTATTCTGAATTCTTCCCAATCCTTTAGAGTACATAAATTTCAATATGTTTCTTTCCAGAAGAGGCAATTAAAAGTGGACTTCCCATTTCTGATGTCAGTTGACAAGCATTGTTTGCATTGTTACAAGCCAACATGAATTTGAAGGACCAATTCCCTTCCTTTGATGCTCAAAAGAATGGATTTCAGTGAAATTAAAAAGCCTCCTAAATTTTAGTTTAACTTATGATAAAGAGCTGGTTTGATTTGGGGTGCTAAATTCAGATGACATCAAACTATGGGGAAGTGTACTCACACTAGAGGATAGGCTAGCAATTCAGGCTGACTTGGACAGGCCTGCAAGGTGGGTGGACCAAAACCTGATGGCATTCAACACTGAGAAATGCACGGTGCTTCACCTCAGGGTGGGGAGGAGAATCCACATTGCACTTATAAGCTCGGCAGTGCTACACTTGCTAGCAACACTACTGAAAGAGACTTGGGGGTCATGACTGACCACAAGATGAACATGAGCCACCAATGTGATACTGCAGCTGGCAAAGAAATCAAAACCCTGGCTTGCATCTATCAATCAATCTCAAGCAAGACCCAGGAAGTCATCCTCCCACTGTATGCAGCCTTGGTGAGGCTGCAGTTAGAGTACTGCATCCAGTTCTGGGCTATGCACTTTAGGAAGGATGTGAAGAAGCTTGAAAGTCCAGAGGAAAGCCACATGCACGAACAGAGCACGAGAGAAAGTCTTATGAGGAAAGGCTGAGACGCATAAGACTCTTCGGCCTAGAAAAGCGAAGGCTCAGGGAGGACTTGGTGGCAGCATATAAATCCATTAGGGGTGTGCATCAGGAACTGAGAGAATGTCTGTTCACCAGGAATGTCTGTTCACAAGGGAAGACAAGGTCTAAGTCACAAACTCCAGGAAGACTGTTTTAGACTGGACATAAGTAAAAACTTCTTTATCGATTGAGTTCCTAAAGTCTGGAACAGACTCCCTCCCAGAAGTGGAGCAAGCACCTGCTCTGGATACCTTTAAGGCACATTTGGATGCTTATCTTGCATTTGACCCCAGCAGACTTCCTGCCCCTTGGGCAGGGGGGGCTGGACCCAATGACCTTGCAAGGTTTCCTTCTAGCCCTAATGTCTATGAAATCTATGAAATGGAAGCCCTTGACAGTCCAGGATGTAGCATTTGCCAAACATATATATATATTAGTAATTAAACAAACCTTTCCTAAGTTTAAGCATCCTTTGCCATCTATGTATATATGCGTATATGTGTGCACACACACACGTGTGCACATGCGCAAAGGATGCTTAAATTTAGGAAACATTTGTTTAATCACATACACAAACGTGTGTATCCCAGAAACCTTTCCCCAACTGCAACAAATGGAAGAGGTTGCAGCAGTTGATGAAGTTTGTAAAGTAAGCAAGCTTGGAAAGACTTGCAATCAAGGAACTACAGACAGGTCTGATCCACCTCAGATGAACACAACTTCATATTATCAATGGATAAGCACTGCTTCATAACAACAACCAGCCAATGGGAACATCAATTCACCAGCCCATCTGAATGAAAAAAAGAAACCCTAAGCTGGCTGGCTCACTCAGGATAAGTAACTTAACGTGAGCATCATCAGTTTTCATCAACATCCATAGTACAAAGTCGGCTTTTAGTGTTTTATGCCTGGGATAGCAATTTTTTTGTGACAACATCATGAGACTAAGCCAGAGGTATCAAACTCATCAAGCCCCATGGGCCAGATGAACTGGAACAGGGCCAGTTCACAGGCCAGATAACTGGTATGGTGTCATCCTACAGGCCAGACAGGGCCCGCACATGCACCATGTGCTGGCCCAGGCCCGCACATGCACCATGTGCTGGCCCAGGCCCGCACATGCACCATGTGCTGGCCCAGGCCCGCACATGCAGCGCATGGATCCAATTCAACACACGCTGTATGAAACATGTGGGGCCACTCCATGGGCAACACCACAGGCCATATCTACCTTGAGAGCAATATCTTTGACACCCCTGAGCTAATTCAACTGACACAAGAATTCAGGGAAGAAGAAAAAAAGGTAAACATGCACACATGTTAATAGATTTAAAAAAGTAGCTCTGTATGGGAAAGTAGTGCATTTCAAAGTTTCACTAATCTATCTGCATTCAAAAAAATATTGAGGGCGACTTTCATCTAGTGGTAATGCAGCATGAGAAGTCTAAATCCCCCTCCTAGGCAAGAGGAGCATGACACTGAAGAGGAGACTGTATATTCGGATTTAGAATTCCTCTGTAAAGCACCTGATGTCACTTGAGTAACTCCAGTTGACCAACAAAAAGCAGCAACCATTTCTTTGCCATTAGAGGGAGGGTTACATCACAAGAGGAAACCAGGAGAGGAAATGTGAGATAACATGTCTCAAGTACAAAATATACAATTAATATGCCTTCTCAAATGATCAGGTTTGCTACTCACTACTATACTAAACAAACCTATGGTTTGCTTCATGTTCCTAATTCCTTATGTTCTAGGCTAAACAGGAATTGAACACTTCCCAGAGCATGTGCTCAACTTGAGAGAGAAGGAACATTGTATTGTGCTCCAATACAGCGTAATAGTGCACGCAGAGCTTCTTGTGGTTCTTATATAGGGGTCAGAAACTGAATGATCTGGTGGTGTACAACAGAAGTGAAGGAATATGCTAAGACGACAAAATCTGACACGCAAGATTAAGTCTCTGCTCCAATTAGCCTAATATTTGTGACCGCTGCAGCAATAACACTTCAGAGAAAAGCTAAACTCCCAAAGCGCAACCCTACTGATGGCACAGCACTGTACATGAAGACGCTTCCTCCTTTCATGAGCCTGGTGGCAAATCAGCTGCTGACCTGAAACAAAGGTTTTAATTACCTGGCTCCTGACAAATGTAAAAGAAAACTGACAGTCATGGTAACTGGAAAAAAAAAATGAAAACTTCAAAAGGTATGTTAGTGTTCAAAAGGTGAAGAAATATTTACAACTATTAAGGAAAATCCAAACTGAAGTTGGGTAAAAACTACATCCTGCTTGGGGCTGCTCTGATGGCTGAATGGTTCTTTCAAAGTAGCCCCAAACGCTTTCAACTGCAGTGTCATGAAGGAAGATCATTTTTGTCAATGAATCCTGTGTGGTTTTGTGAAAAGCTCCAGGGTTGGTTTTTGGGGTTTTTTTCCTTTAGGTGTTCCCCCTATTAACCGTCAACCTACCTGCCCATAGTTGTCTATGCCAGTTACTAATCTATTTAAGTTTAATAAATCAAAAGCGGTCCTGAGGGACTGGCCAAGAGTTGTCAGTCCTTCAGCCTGCAGGTTTTTCAGCTCGCTCATAAACGTTGCGTGGTTTTCTTTCCATCCGGCCTGAAAAGAGAAAGGCAAGAGAGGGGCTTATCCCAGGGTAGTGGGGGGCTGGGACTGCCCTTCCCCACACAGGCTCCCATGGGAGGGGGTCCCTCTGGGGACAAGGCGAGTGCTTCCCAGGGCACCCTGCGAGGTGCCAAGAGGGCACTGCCCCCACCCTAGCCCGGTGGTGGCAGCAGGGCGAAAGAGATGGGAGGGGGCGTGGGGAGGGGAGGCGAGGGGAGCCCCCCCCAGCCGGGCGCCGAGCGAGCGAGTCGCTGTCACTTCTCGCAACTCGCGCCGGATCCCCCACAGTGCCCTGCGGCTCGCGTCCCGCGCCGCCAACATGGCGGCCATGTTGATGTCA